GATGGAGAAAGAACACCGAAGACAGCCGGCGCCGGGGTTTTGCCGGGGCGGGGGGGGGGGGGGGGGGGGGGGGCACTGTCCAACAACAATAGTGTTGTGTCTCACACACACACACACACATATACGACTAATCTGTGACTGTGTGTCCGTGTCCCCACAGGTTGTCCATCCCGTCGGTCCAGAGGACTGACTCTGGTCTGTACCAGTGCACGGTCAGAAACAGGATGGGGACAGTGATCCACAGGAGGACAGAAGTACAGGTGGCCTGTGAGTACACACACACACACACACACACACACATCCTGGTACACACATGAAGTGGGACAGGACCAGGACCAGGACCAGAACCAGAACCAGAACCAGGACTTAGAGCAGCTCTGACTGAGCAGCAAAAATCAGTGGTTCTAAAAATAACTGCAGCAACAGAAGTGGAATATAAAGAAAACTACAGTACAGTGTAGTACAGTTACAGTACAGTACAGTACAGTGTAGTATAGTACAGTACAGTACAGTGTAGTACTGACTTCAACCAGGTGAAAACTGAATCAAATCATTTCAGGCTGTGATTTTCTGAACTTTTTAAAAAACTTCTGGTAATAAAACAGACTTCAGCTCAGTCAGTGAAGCTAATGTAGCATTAGCGACCGTCATTTTCCCTGATTCAGTGAAACATCCAACTGACTGGAAGGACATTTCAAAAGTTTTCAACACGTTAGCGTTGAAAACTTCAACTTCAGCTCAGTCAGTGAAGCTAATGTAGCATTAGCGACCGTCATTTTCCCTGATTCAGTGAAACACCTAACTGACTGGAAGGACATTTAAAAAGTTTTCAACACGTTAGCGTTGACATCAACCAGTCCATCAGTTAAACTCACTTAGTGAATGAAGTTCATTAAACATGATTTTTTCATCTCTAATTTCCATGTGATTAAAATAGTTTGGGACTGATTTTCTTTCCTCACTGTTTCTCCTCCTTTCAGTTCTGGGAAACTTCTCCAGTGAAGATCAGAGGAAGACGGTGACCCAGGGTCGAGCTGCCGTCCTCAGCCCCCCGCCCCTGCCCTCCTTCCCCCGACCCGTGGTCACGTGGTTCAAAGACGGACAGAAGATCATCCCCAACAACAGAATGTAGGTGTCTCTGCTTTGGTTTCCCATCTTCAACCCTGTTCCTCGCACATTTTTGGTTTCATGTTGTGAATTACCCAGACTCCTTTGGGGGAAACAAAACAAAACAAAACAAAACAAAACACAGAATCTGAAAAGGCTGAAATATTTCAGTTTCATCCCTGGGTGCTGAATTAATTACCAAAAACATTGACATTCTGTTGGAGGCTGCCCCCCCCCACCAGATGCTGTGAATTATTTTATTAATCACATTTACAGCTGATTAAGTCGGTCCACAGTACTGGAGTACTTCTTTTATGTACTGGGCCCAGCAGAGATACGACGCAGCCTTGATGTGGCGTGAACGCCTCGTGTCACAGCGTTTGGTTTGATGCTGCTCTTGGCCTCCTTCACTAAACGCCTTTGATTCACCTATTATTCCTGAGTCGCCGCCGCAGCTTCAGTGTCTTTGTTGTTCCTTTGTAAAATACAAACCGTGCCTTCATGATGTAATCACTCAGACCAAGCAGAGAAACGTAGATTTTGGTTTTTTAAGTTTTTATAGCTATCTGCTGCCCCCTAGATTTTTTGACAAACAAGACAAATTATTTGCAATAAACAAATAATAGTTTTCAGACCAATTAAGTGAAATTCTCCAGGACCAGACCTGACCCGGTCCAGTCCGACTGCTGGGTTTATTAGCCTGCGTTAACTAAGTTCTCATTAAGACCACTGATGGATCCCTGCTGTGTGATTGGCTGAAAGTGTCAGCTGTACGTGAATGGCCACACAGCAACTTCTGCGCTCTGTTAATGAGAGTCAGCAGTCGCCGGGTAGACCAGGGTTAGACGGGGCCACTCGTCCTTTTCATTTTTCTTCACGTCAGCCTCCACTTCAGAACGTGAGTGAACGATTTAATCGCTCGGCCCGACGGTTAATGGACTTCATTAGGAGAGACGTACTGACAGTGGACTGTAATTATCCTGACGCTCCAGACGCAGCCGGGGTTCACTCTGTTAGCTGCGATTGAGTCGTCAGCACGCGGCATTAACGTGCGCCCCCTGCTGCTCGCTGTGAAAACAGGAAGTGTGTGTTGCTGTTTTTACTAAACGGCCTTTTCACAATCATCGTAAACAGAGTTTATAAATGATGTCGTACGAAGTGATGGCGTGCTGCTGCCCCGCCACTCAGTAGGAGGTCCGTACAGAGAACCACAGAACCAGAGAACCACAGAACCACAGAACCACAGAACCGCAGAACCAGAGAACCACAGAACCACAGAACCACAGAACCACAGAACCTGAGAACCAGAGAACCAGAGAACCAGAGAACCACAGAACCACAGAACCAGAGAACCAGAGAACCACAGAACCACAGAACCAGAGAACCACAGAACCACAGAACCACAGAACCACAGAACCACAGAACCACAGAACCACAGAACCTGAGAACCAGAGAACCAGAGAACCACAGAACCACAGAACCACAGAACCACAGAACCAGAGAGCCACAGAACCAGAGAACCAGAGAACAACAGAACCAGAGAACCAGAGAACAACAGAACCAGAGAACCAGAGAACCACAGAACCACAGAACCACAGAACCACAGAACCACAGAACCACAGAACCACAGAACCGCAGAACCAGAGAACCACAGAACCACAGAACCACAGAACCTGAGAACCAGAGAACCAGAGAACCACAGAACCACAGAACCAGAGAACCCAGACTAGAGAACCGTTTTTTATCAACACATTTACCCATAAATCACTGCTTTTCCTCCATAAAAGTCTGAAAGGTTCAAAAGTTAGGTTTTTAATTCCCCAAATGTCACCAAATATTTGTCAAAAAAAAAACCCTGTAAATTAAAAATGTGCAGGTTAACAGTGGAATTGTAGTGAACAGGATAATGAGGTGTGAGTCAGAGACTCAACTCTGACGAAAGAGTTGCTGCAGTTTAGAAGAAACAGCGAGTGATTTGACAGTGAGGAATGGGCTGTC